CATGTTTGTCATTCGCCCTTTGATCCATAATCTCTCAAATAATACCGTCCTAGATCCACAATCGAAATTCAACCTCGCTCATTCCATATCCATCTCAAAATCAATCTCGCTCCACTTCGATCATCTGTTAACATATCATCATATACAAATTCACGTAACCTCTGTCCTCCGATCTGCAACCTCCATGCAGATCCATCGACTTTCAGCCACACTAATGACCAACGCACCAGTGTGGATCCCCAGCTCACGGCTCCTCGTGAGATTGCATCACACCGAAACGGTTGTGATTAGCGCGATCTCGCAAGAACTCATACAGAAGAGCACCGCAGTTGAGATCTGCTTCGTCTATGGATCATCGTAGTTGGGAAGTCTCAGTTCTTCTTGGTTGTCTTGTTGGTTCCGCGGAGTCGAGTATCTCGTCCTCTTGCCAGTTCTCATATCGGAAATTCGCTCCACTTCGTATTCATCCGGATCCCGATCTTGGATCCAGCTATCTTTAGGTAGGTGAGCTTCATCGAAGTCCACCCGATCTTCTTCTGATCCGTTCAGACGAGCTACTGGTCGATCTGGGAATACCTTGACCAGTTTGATCTTCGACACTTGCACCACCGGGAAAATGCTGTATGCGGATCCTGCCACCTCCAACCTCACAGCGTACTCTCCGATCTTCTCGGCAACGCGGAATGGACCATGCCATATGTGCGCCAGCTTTTTCGCGTAACTTTCACGCACTCGATCTAGGCACAGCCAGACCCTTGATCCAGACTCTACAGGATGAGGTCGAGCTAGATCATTATGCGTATCGGCCCGATCCGCGATCGCTTCACGTAGGCGTTGGTTCACTTGTTCTCTGGCCTGCTGATAATATTTTTGCATCCGATATCGCCACCTTCTCGGATCTCGATCGTGCTTGCGAGTGCTTCCCACCGGGATCACAGCTTCCAGGGTGGATCTAGGATCCCAGCCATGTATCATATAGAAAGGTGTTTCACCTCGGATCCGATCTCTTGCGGTACTGATCGCGAAGGTGAGTCGTTCCGCATACTCGTCCCAATCTTGTTGATCCAGATCTTCCACGTACATCTTAAGAGCCCTGGTAGTTGTCTGGACCATACGTTCTGCAGATCCATTAGCTTGGGGTCGATACGCCATAGTAGCCCGTTGGCGCTGTCCCAGGATCTTGTGGAACGACTTAAAGAAATCAGACATAAAGCCTGGCTCCCGATCGTGTCGGATCACCTCGCTCGCGCCGAATCGACGAAAGACACATTCTTCGTAAGTCTCGGCTATTGTTTGAGCGGATCTGGAGGCACTAGATTTGGTGATCACGTATCCTGAGAACAGATCCACGAAAATCAGCCATTCGGTGTTGCCGTTGAAGGATCTAGGCAGCGAGGGTATGTGATCCATGGCAATGATCTGAAATGGGTACGTTGCCTGAAGGTTACCCGGCTATTCGCCCCGGATCCGAGGTCTTCCTTTGCCTGTCTCACAGTCAACGCATTCCCCCACATATCGTTGTACACTCTTGTACAAACCCCTCCAATGGAAGTGATCACGGATCCGGTCATAGGTGCGACCAACTCCCTGGTGACCGCCTTGTAGATTCGTGTGATAGTGGTGCAAAATGTCCTGTTGAAACGTTTCGGGTATCACTAGTCGCATCAGTTTATCTCGTTCTGCGGCCGCTTCCTTAGATGTTGTCGGGCAATAGAAGAGTAGATCCAGCTGATCTACTTCATAATTCATAGCGATAGATCCCAGCGTCT